TCTGTCACAGAGTCTCTGTGCACCACCTCCGTCTTAGGCGTTCTTCAAGATCAATGAAGATGACCTGCGACAACTGCTAGATTCTAGCAGCTAGAAGCTATGATGATCACTATGGCGTATTTCAGGTGGTTCTTGATAGAGAAGCCTCGGAACCCTGAGTCTCTGATTTTCGACACATTCCGATACCACCTTGAGCAGTATGCAGATGCTAGAGAACGATAGCATTCCAACGCGGCATCCATGGCTACCAGATATCGAGATAGGCGCAAAGAGCGTTAGAATGAAGTGAGTTCTGAGTTTGGGGCCGTCGGCTCTCGGCGAGAGCATTCACACGAGCTGTAGTAAGGGCCTTACTGCAAGGCACAAAGAGCAGCGAATGCCCAGTGATACCAGCAAGACCAGCCTCTCCAGTGCCGCACAATGATCCCAGGAATATCCCAGTAATCGACGAAGTGAGATGTGGTCTCTGCACCCAGCTCCGGAAGCGTAAGTATCGATTTGCTGGGGACTAAGCGTTCTTGCTCTAACGACCGAAAACGAGAATCATACCACACAACCGAGAGAAACTCGCATTCAAATAATACACGCATTGTATAGACAGCCATAACGCAACACGGCCCGTACAGATGAGTACGCCTTAACCCAGTCATGTTACATATCTATTACTCTCCGCCCGATAAATCAAGCACTTCAGAGGCACCCAGTGTATGCGAAAAAACAAGCCATTACCGCTCATACTGCTGAATACCTGCAAAACTGCTCGGAGCGCAAGGATCAGCGATCAAGTGCTCCATAGGACGTGAATCTCTAGACTGTGACATGTGACACTACCTTGTACACGTCATCTCAATGAGCCTAAACCTGTGTTTATATAATCCTGCAGTCTGTGGGCCGCAATTATCGTGACAAGAATCACCGTAGCCACCACAAGCACCTATAAGGGTATAGTTCCAGAAGACAGCACTAAATCGGACAGTGATATGTACTTACACACCAGGACCGATCGCTGATGCTATGTCCGAATCGAGCAGCTTTCTCCAGCTCATGAACAGTCTCTGGGGACAGTACTCATAGTTCAATGAGAACCTCGTCATCTCACCCTTGCTGTCTCTAACAGTAGTATCAACACTATTCTCAACACTTGATATTTGTTGGCCTTGATCCGATACCATAACGGCCAAGTCGCGGAACATATCCGACACTTGTTGCACCTTAGACAGCGATATACTCATCTGCGGACCCGTACATGTCCTCACCTGCTCGTGAATCCGAGATATACCCGTATGACGTTCATGCACAATATGCTCGTCGATGAAGGCGTGCGAACCACCACTCTGAGCCTCACAAAATCAAGTCTAAATACTCTAAGCATGAACTCTACTTCGCGGTGCTCTAGCTCTTGGGCGAGTAAGCCATGACTTTCCTCATAAGCATGTTCGTCCATCACACAATCGTATCGTCCAACTGGCGGAGAATATCGCGCAAGA